GAAGACACCATAGGAGCCAAAGCCGAGGCCTCACCAAAGAGCTGCCCGAGCGCTGCCGCCAGGTTCGCCAAGGTTCAGGTCAGGTCAGAGCACCCCAGCCTTCGCGCTGCCGCCAGGAATGCCGAGGTTCAGGTCGAGAGCAGTCCCGTTAGCAGCCCGAGTGCAGCCAACACCGATGCCGAGGTTCAGGTCGAGACAGAGGCTAGGCACGAGGAGCCCTACGAAGACACTAGCCCAGTCACCGACGGGACTAGCAAGAGACTTGGCTTAGACTACGACTTCGTCGAGGTTTTTGGGAAGGGGGATTCTATAGTCTCCGCCGTCGCTGACAAAGGCCTTAGGACTGGGCCTCGCTTCTCGTCTGAGATTAGCCCTGAGCTCGATGTCACTAAGCCAGCTCCCCTCGAGGCCCTGCTCTACCTGATCCCCAGGCACAGGGTGAGGCGCGTTCTCATAGATCTCCCAGGAGGTTCTTTTAGCCGCGCCCGGGCCCCTGCACTACGAAGTGCCATGAGGCCTCTCGGGGTGACCGGGAGAAGAAAAGAGGTCAAGGACGAGAATCGAAGGGCTTCCCGCGCTTTCATCATCCTCGAGGCCTGCCGCAGAGCCGGGGTCCCCTGCCTCCTTCGCCAGCCCGCGGGCTCTTTCCTTTTCGCCCTGGCTTGGGCACGGAACTTCCTCGCGAAGCCTGGTGCCACGAAGTTCCACGGGACCACTCTGCTCGGGAAGCCTGGGCGAAACTACGGGTTCCTCTGCTGCCACGTATCGCCCTGCCGGGCCCGCCTCCGTCTAAGCTCCGAGCCCGACGCGTGTCTTGCCGAGTTGGTGTGCGAGCTCGCCCCTCCTCCTGCGCCTGCTGACGAGAGCCTGCCTCCCGGTTTGGAGTCGATCCTTGTCGACGACGTGCTTCTGACTTCCCGGTGGGAGGTGCTCCTTGCCTGGAATTGGAAAAACAAGAGGCACATCAACGCCCTCGAGAGCGATGCCACCCTTGCCCTTTACAAGCATGTCGCCCTCGAAGGCGGAGACCGGCGATGTGCCATCATTACCGATAGCTCCGTGGTGCTGGGAGCACATTCGAAAGGGCGCACATCAGCCCGTGTCATCAAGCAACCGGTCCGCCAAGCAAGCACCACCATCATAGCGGGCGGGGTATACCCCGGGCTCTCCTTCGGCCCAACAAGATGGAACGCCGCCGACGATCCCACTAGGTCCGAGCAGCTCCGAGAGCCCGCCGGTGTCCCTCTATGCTATGGCCTTAGCCGTGATGATCTCCGAGCCCTTGGCGCCCTACGCGGCCTCAACAGGCCTCGGGCCAATTGGGTTCGACTTGCCCTGGCCCTTTCCACGGCTTCTCTTGACGGGCTTCCTAGCCTTGTTTCGGCCCTTCGGGCCTTCCCCTCGCGAGCGAGGTTTTTAGCCCTCCCCGAGGTTTCTCCACTTGCACCTTTCATGGATTTCGATCAGACTCTGGGCTTTCCCGGCGAGGGACCTTTCTCCTCCACCGCCTTTGGACTTTTGCTTCTGCTCCTTCCCGCGACCGGTATGATTACCCCGCGCAATCGGGACGACCTTTTCCGCCAAAGCCGCCGCTTCTCCTCCCTGCCCCTCGGAAGGCCGGTCCAAGCTGCCACCTCTTCTAGAAGGGTTGTTCTGGTTTCCTCCTTTGAGCAATGGCTTCGCGAGGTTACAGGGCGAACTCTGGGAAGTTACTTCGAGGCCAAACCTTTTGACACCGAGAACTTCGTCGAGCTGATCATTGCCTTTGGGAGGGATCTGTACAACAGTGGCAGGCCGTACTGGCATTACTCTGAGACCATAAACGCTCTTACTGCTTTAAAGCCTGCCCTACGAAGGGCATGTCAGGGAGCGTGGGACTTGGCTTTTACTTGGTTGGCTGACGAGCCCTCCTCACACCACCTCGCGCTTCCCCCGATCCTGCTCATGGCGATCCTGGGAGTGTGCTTGGCTTGGGGATGGGTCAGTGAAGCTGCTATTTTTTCACTTTCGTGGGGCGCCTTGCTCCGGATATCCGAGGCCACCTCTGCCACTAGAGGACACCTCGTCTTCCCGAAGGACGCCCTGTGGATGCAGAGCTATGTGCTAATCAAGATCGATCAACCTAAAACTCGGGGGCGTGCCGCCAAACACCAATCTGCAAAACTTGAGCCCGCCGACCTGGTTGATATTGTGACTATGGCTTTCCAGGAGCTCCCGAAACACTGCAAGCTTTGGCCCCATGCCAACCAGACTTTGAGAAGACGACTGGATGCAGTACTTAAGCGGCTAGGGATCTCCGGGTCATCCTCCCAAGAACGGGGGGTTGATCTGGGGTCCTTCCGCCCCGGGGGCGCTACATACATTTTACAGAAAACGGAGGATTCAGAGCTCGTACGGCGCCGTGGGCGCTGGGTCTCTATGAAGGTTATGGAGATTTACCTCCAGGAGGTAGCATCGTCCACGTACGTAGCTGACCTCCCCCTACAGTGTCGCGAAGCCGTCCTCTATATGGCCCAGCTCTACCCCGAGATCTTGAAAACAACAATGCGGTGGAATGAAAACAACATACCCAGCTCTAGCTGGTGGTACCTTTGGCCATAGGCTACACCGTGTGCGGGTTGGTGGGAACGGGTCGAAGTTTTTCCGGCCTGCCTC